CCAATGAGCTGCTCATGGAGATGATGAGCTGAAATTTGGTATTCTGGATATCACTGCAGGAGGTGAGCTTGTTGGAGCTGAAGATAATGTAGAAAATGATGACAATGGAGCTGATAATGAACTGATAATTGGAGAAGACTGAGCTGAAACTGATGTTGATGATGCAGCAGAAGGTGTCACTTTATCACTAGGCTGGCTTTTCCTAGTTGCCTGATTGAACTGTGGAGCTGTTCCAGGCAAGACAGAAGTGGCAGCAACAGTGGCCAGAGTTGGCAATTGAGAGTCATGACTTTTATTGAACTCGAAGCCGGAGCTTTTGACTGTGCTTGTTAGCTGCTTCGCACTTCCAACAGTTGAATTTTTGGGTGCATTCTCTTCACTAGAATTTTTTATTTCACTGGATTTTGTCAGCCAGGAAGGTATCTGTATGGGCATAGTAGAGATAGACGGCTTCCTATGGAGATCGGTTCCAAACTTTTGAGTAAAGTTGCTCTCCTTGACCAACATATTAGAAGCACCAGCACATGATATAGCCCCCATGTCATTGAGGTTCTCCATGGTATGACCTTGCCCTGTTTTAGGTAATGATTGAGATGTAGAAATTGATGATGATTCAGAAACACTGTTCTTTTGGAGCATAGGAGATCTAAATGGAGTAGATTGCAGCTGTCCTGAGGTCTCATTTGCCCATCTGAAAGGGGTTAATTGTCTTTCAGAGGCCTGTTTCGGGATTGAATCCTGAGTGCCTGCCAAGAGATACGCACAGGAAAAAAAGACAAATAACCTACTGTCTTTCAGCTCTTAAACAAATGTACCAAAAAAGAGGTTGGTCCACACTTGGGCATGCTCACCTTTGTTTCCGGGCAAGAAGGATGCTGAAGGGGCTGCATGATCCTTTGGGCGAGAAATGGATGATCCCTCTGACATCAGGGGATGATCCCTCTTATTCATCAGGGAGGATGATCTATCTGCACTTACCTTCTGACGATCTTGCAAGAGCATTCTTTTCACGATAGTTTTTGGAGGCTCAAAACTAGCCCAACTCTGCACCAAGGTCAATAGAACAGATAACCAAGAGGATAACTGCAAACTGCAAAGACTGTAAACTTGAGCTGGAAATCAAGTCAGTTTCAGTTTATGGCAGAGCATCAGGGTTTGACAATCATAAAATTAAAGGTATTATGTTTGATGCAGACAAGAACATACTAAAGGGGGCATATTTCAAAAGAGATATTTATGTCATTATTTATCTTATATAGAAATTATTAACCATAGGCTTATTATTAGTATGAGATTATTATTTCCTATTTGATAAATATGCTACTTAGTTATTTCCTATCTAAGTTATTTAATAATAGCTGTTTTCCATTTAGTAGAATTCCTAAATAGATTTTTTATTTTTGATTATATTTTGGGAGCCTATAAATAAAGTACTCTACCTTAATTTATTTCTCAGGTGATTATTATTCAACATTGAGCTCTTGATTTGATTACTAGTCTGAGATCTTTAGTCTTGTTCCAAGTAAGTTTTCTCTAAATCTTGTCCTCAAATTCTCTT